CAGGACATTTCCACACACCTGAAAAACTGTTTCCCGACGTCGCCGTCAGTTAGCCCATAGGATCCCGGTCAACCGGAAGCAGAGCCGCAGAGCCAACTACGCCGCCATCCAGAATCCATACCACCAAAAACGGAAAGATGAAGCGTCTGCTGTACTCGATGGGTTATGGAAGGATTTATACAAAGGAAACTGCGGCCTACCTAAGAACACCGAACAGTATTGGAAACGAGTGCTCCCAGCTGCAAAACACGTGGATAGCCGATCAAGTCGCATAGTAGTACCATCCGAATGGAGCTTGATCGAGCCAATTACAGGAGAAGAAGTTGGCCGTACGATCCGTTTAATGGGCAATTCGTCCACGGTCCTGGACAAGCTCACACCCAGAACGCTCCGCCGGTTCAATGCCAATGTGCTCGCTGGGTATTTCAACTTCTTTTTGTTGTCTGGGGGTTGTCCCTCACATCTCTGTCGAGCCCGTATTACTCTAGTTCCGAAGGTCCCACATCCGACTTCACCAGATCAACTGAGACCGATCTCCGTGTCATCCATTCTTGTCCGTTGCTTCCCTAAGGTGCTTTCTGATCGCTGGAGTCGTAGATTGCAACCTCCCTCACTTCAGTTTGCATTTCTGCGTCGAGACGGCTGTTTGGAAGCCACATCTTTGTTGTATGCCCTGCTTTGTCACTCTTCAGTGACTGCTTCTAACCTCAGCTTGGCGTTTGTCGATACCTCGAAAGCGTTTGATTCGGTTCGCGTGACAATCGTCAGATCTGCCGAAGCGTTTGGAGCTCCGTCACCTCTTGTTCGATACATCGCACAGTCCTATGAGAATCCTGCAGCAGTTTTCCCCAGTTCCGAGGTTCACTGCCACAGAGGTGTGAGGCAAGGAGATCCACTCTCCCCATTATTATTCATTATGGCAATGGATGAGGTTCTTGGATTGTCGATGCCGCAACTGGGATACCAGTTCCATGACACCTTAGTAGATGGTTTTGCTTTCGCTGACGACTGGGTCGTGTGTGCAGAAAGTCAGGCACGCCTTAAAGAGAAGCTTGAAGCTGCTGCGGTCGAGTTGGGAAGAGCTGGCATGAAAATAAACGCCCGAAAGACTAAAGTGATGGTTATTTGTGGGGACAGGAAACATCGGGCAACAGCAGTCTCAGTCGAACCATTTCGCTTTGCCGAGGAACTAATCACTCCTCTGGGTCCGACAGACACTGTAACATATTTGGGCATTCCCTTTACCTCCAAGGGGAAAGGGGTCTTCAACCACCGACAGCACCTGCTCAAACTGCTCGAAGAAGTGACGCGTGCCCCGTTGAAGCCGCATCAAAGAATGGATATCACGAGGAACTACCTGATACCAAGGCTGACATATTCGCTCGTGCTCGGCCAAGTCCACAGGAACACACTAAAAAGATTGGACAACTACATCAGGCAATATATTCGTGGCTGGCTACGTCTACCGAAGGACACCCCGATCAGCTACATCCACGCCGGTAAACAACATGGGGGACTTGGTATCCCAAGTCTGAGTGCAACAATCCCGATGCAGCGGAAAACGCGTATGGAAAAGCTCCTCTCTACTCAGTGCCGAGTACTACGCAATGTGGTCAACGATTCCGCATTCGGCAAAATTGTTCGGGATCTCAGCCTTCCGATCCGAGTCCATGGAGCATGCGTACACACCAAGGAGGAGCTGGTGGCTGCTTGGGGTGATAGTCTGCACAACAGCGTTGACGGTCGCGGTTTACGGGAGTTGGTCACTTCGCCTCTCTCGAATCGATGGCTCGTATTCCCAGAACGAGTGTTTCCATGGATATTTATCCGGGGTATCCAGCTCCGATGCAACCTGCTTAGGACGAGAGTTAGAAGCGCTCGGCATGGTCATGGTGGCCAGACGATCTTATGTCGTGGAAACTGTGGCCAACCGGAGAGTTTGGTGCATATTTTGCAATCCTGCTGGATTACGCATGATGCCAGGTGTGCTCGTCATAATCGGGTTGCAACGGAACTTGCAAAACGTTTCCGTCGACTGGGGTACACCGCCTCCGAGGAGTTGAAAGCCCCTACTTCTGTGTCGTTCATCAAACCTGACCTAATCGCTGTTCGAGATCGCCGTGCAACTGTAATAGACGTCAGCATAGTCTCGGATGGGCGTGGAGTGACAGTGTGGAATGAGAATAAACAGAAGTATGGTGCTGATGAATATTCCCTCGCCATAATTTCAGCCCTACATGCCATCGGTTTTTCACCAACCGATGATCATCTCTTATCGAGGGATCTACTTTCCTCCATCCGCTAAGGCTGTTATTGGACTGGGACTTCCTAAGGTCGCAGTCAGTGACTTGCGTTTGCTTGCCATTTTGAACTCTCTGCGTACTTATGACACTTTTATGCGTGGCACATGGCGTTGAAGGTACATCTTTGTCATTTAATCTCACACCAGACCCAGTATGACGGACACTATGTGCCTGATATGCGAGTCTCGACGGTGCTAGCGCACACTGCGCCTTAAATAGCATTCACCATTGTTTGTCCTCTCTTTGGTTGTTGGTCTTTAGACGCGTGTTCCCGTACCAAAATCTTTACATACTTTGGGATTCACCTCATCAGAATGTCACTGTTCTTGGCATGAATTCGAATGAGACGTTTCTCTCTTCTGTCCAATATTCTCCTGTTACTCTTTCGCATTCATCGCTTGCATTCACTTTTTATGTTTGTGACCATGTTCTTCAAAAACAAACGATAATATTGTTCAGCTTGTAAACCAAAGAATTTTCGTTGGCTGATTGTGCGTCTCACGGGTATGAGTATTCCTAAATTGTACAGTATAGAGGCAGGAATTAGTGATATTTCAGCAACTTGTCACCTTTGAAATGATGAGACCATTCGCTCCGACGTCGTATAATAAAAACACGTATTATGTGTTTACAACCCATTGCACACAAAAGTAAGCACTTTCTCTGAACACAGTCGTTTGGAATACGACAAATCTTCAGCGTCTCTCTGAGATTTCATGGACACCCACGAAATAATAAACAGTAGTAAACTAACGCCACAAAGCGGTTCAATAATTCCCGAAGTATCCTTATCCTTTAATCGAATGTAGGGGTTTAGGACCGTAGACTAATTGCATGTCTCATCAGCATAATGCACCGTTACACCAAAATTCACCCTTAGCGATGAATTCTGCCGTATTTTACCCTGAACACTTACATTGTGTCAACGAAAGCATCTTCCTTATATGGGTGTGCGTAATGCAATGGAGTTTGATGTGAAAAACAGTGTTATGCCTCACTTGACCTCTACGAGGACTACCTGCGTGTTTTCATGTTATAAGAACATATGTCCAGTTCGTAAGCGCACGAACGGCATCCGAAATTTAAGGACGTCGGTGAACCTAGCACAAAATCATAAAGTGACATTTCTACTCAAGGGGTCGTTCCATCACAGAGTTCACAGCTTTTGTCCAGAGTATAGTGAACTAAGCTGTTTTCAGTAGAGGCTACCTGAGAGTGCAGATAACATTTTGTCCACCTTGTTGTGTGTTTCATCATCTAACTTACGGTTGTTCTCCCAAAATAAATTCAATTTTGATCATGATACTCGAAGCTAAAAGTATTCAGAATACTCACATGGAATTATCGTCTTTCGTTGAGTCTGTTGCTACTTTACCAAGGCTTGTGTGCTCAACACGATAGCCGCTCGGGCTACATTTTTCTGCGGTAAAGGTTCACAAATATTATCAACAGATTGTCCGTCGTTCCTTAACTGCACTGTTTCAGGACCTATTATTACAACTATACGTAACATATTATCATTTTGTGCATTGAAATCTCAATCACAACCTCGCATGTCTGTAAGTAATCCCGGTTACTCGAAACTAAAAAGAGTGCCACGCATATTACTGAGAGATAAATCAGTAGGTGTGAAAAACTTCTTTCGGCTTTCCGAAACTATAAGTGATGTGAAGATGCAGTTGGAACGAAATATGTGGTTGACCAATAACTCTACCTTAAGATTGCCCACGGTTGGGCAAATCTGCGAACTGCTCAATGCATGTTTAAATGTGTGACTGTTAATTTGTCATGCTACGTGAGTAATACCAAACGAGAAAAGGATAGTTTCCATCGCATTCGATCGATGACTGAACAGTTGTTTGGCTTCTATCTTGGCATAAACTGACCTCAAAATACACAAGACTAAGTTTTCTGGGCACTTAGCCCTCAAACTGTCAGCTGATAAGACTCACTTTAGGAGTTCAGAAGGTTGTGTATACGTGTACACCTATTTTAGTACTTCAGGATGTTAGCACCTGACGACTAATGGGTGTCTGAAAATAAATTAAGATGAAAAACGCCAAATTCCTAAAACGACTTGAAATTTCGTGAGTTTGATTATTTGTACTGTCAATTCTCAGTATTCTGATAAGGAATGTACTGTTTCAGGGTAGGTTTCCAAATTAATGTGTAAGTTTTCAGCAGTACGATTGTGTCGGAATATGAAATCGATATTCAAAATTTTCCAGGAATGTTAGCTTCGAAGTTGAATGCACGTTACACTGTAAATTTATGAAAAACTCGGCGTTTGTCTGTGTGCTGTGCGCGCAGGTTTCTTGCCAATCGAGATTGGTTTGCCGGATTTTCTTTGGAGTTGCACCGATCCGTGCAATAGTCAAACAAAAATTTGCATAATTTGAGGATTTTGCCCGTTTTATGTATGCAGCTTGTAAGTGTGGAACCACATCATATTAATAAATCGCTATTTCACGATTCTTGGGTTGCGATTCTCCGCGTCACTCATTTGTAATTCCCGTAATACGTCATTTTTCTCACAACATTTTTAATGTTATGAATTTTGAAACGACGTATCAGTGGACGAGTACAAAGTACAAAACGAGAGCACATTTTCCGGTACAAAGCACGGCGATGCTGTCAGAAATCAGCCCGTGTCCTCCACGTATTTGTCGATTCTCTGAACTCGTATTCTGAGCTTCATTAATTATCAATAAAAACATATTTTGTGCTGTGACAATGTTTACAGCCGAGTGTTATCATTCCCATTCGCTGAGTTTTATCATCACCTTGGCATATAAGAGACTTATAGTACATAAGAAAAGCATTTTCTTCACAAAGGTAATTTGTCAAGTCGATGAGCGTTCTAATAAGCAGCTTCCGCCGTCACAGATCAGTTCAATAAACAATTAACTGAGATGAAGCTGTACGACATGGATGTTTAAACCAACAAATTTCCCATAAAATAGAAACAATGTGCTTCAATGTTGTATAGACGTAATTCAATACTCATGCATTTGCTGAAAACTCTAATTTTGTTTTCAAAGTATTGTGTATACAAGATTAAACCAAACATCCGAATTCGACAGGTTCGACTAAGATAACGTTGTTGGATAATGACTTTATGCCTGGCAGACAGTAGATTTGAATTTCTTCAGAGAGTATACATACGTAAACGACTTTTGCCGTTAAAAAAAGCCGCATGATAGGCTGCTCAAGAGGATGGTTTCGGGGTGGACATGTAATTTCCAAGCATATTATTCGTGGCAAGTGCGGCCATTGTTTCTGTAAATGATGAGAGAAAAAGCCGATAATTCTGTGACGATAAGTTAGGTTGAAATTCTGTATCTCAAAATGCTAGACACAGTTGAGAATGAGGTCTTATGAGTACAGAAATTCGTTTTCAACATTGTATTACGTTGAATGATACCAAATTTCCTAGTGAAATTCCTGCGTTTTGTGTTACGTGTTTCTAAGTAGCGTCCGGGTAAATCCTGATTCTCCTCCATGGTAGTCATATGAGGAAGCGAGTTTTTCAGTTTTTCAGAAAAGTTTTTGAAAAAGCCAGCTGCTGCTAAATCATTCATTCAAGTATTCGTAATCGGTATAGGTATCCTAGTCCTTCTATGCTCAGCCTGTATTTCAAAGCACATCAAAGTAATTATTTGACGGCACAAAAAAAAGCAGGATTTGTGCAAAACTCTATAATTTGGTTAGTTGTGACCAGCCAAACTACAAAATGTCAAAATATGAGGTTATCGGCATTAGCTTTTTGCAAAAACTGATTTTTTGCGAATAGCAAATGATGCAAATTTTTCCATTTTTCATGAGTTTCAGTCCGGCTTAAGAAATTTGCTGAAATTCCCCACCAGAACCACTCAATGAATAAGTCCCTTTTGTATACTTAAAATGAGCTTGGCTTGGAATTTTATCGTTCTGGATGAGTTGAGCTTTTGATGGCAGAACTAATGGGCAACAGATATAAATTTGCTTGAATTTTAAGATCATATATCTGTATAGGTTTCATCCCGCTTCACTCTAAACAGCAGCGGTCTGCCGAGAAACTGGATGTAACCGTTATGTAGGATTATTATACAGTAAGGAACGTCGTAGAAGTTTTTCCAGTCAGATATGACATATGACTTGGGGTACTGTTTTGATGCTCCCACAGTGACACTTTACTGCATCTCCCTGAACTAGCATGCTGCACAGGCATTTTTACCTGATAATTTCACAGTCTGCGATATTTGTACAATCACGAAGCGTAGTCGCGCACCTCATGAGGCCAAGCAAGAACTCAACGCTTTCTGTGTCTCTGGTGACCAAAGAGCGACCACTCGTGAAGAATATAGCAACGGGCTGTTTTCCTGTCCCAGAGCTAAACGCAATGGGTTGACTTCTGGTGAAGAGTCATCTCTGCGACTCCCTGCATCCAGCTCATTTAAGTTCAGTATTACGCAGAATAGAAAAACAGTGCCTTTTTGCAATCCATATACGTCCAAAGGGGCTGCAGCTTGGGTGCTAAAAGAATAATATCTATCATGATTTAACCGAGTCCACTCAGAAGCCCAAGTATGTTAATTTTTCGGACCAATAATTTACTCCGGAAATCACCGACAGGGAAGGTAGGCCAGATACTTCGAAGTACAGTTTATCGATCCTTCTGGATATCACCAATGAAAAGAGAGGAAGCACCCGCACCGGACGGTCAATATTCTGCCCATTCAAATTATATCTGACATGTGATATGATATGCGATATGGATGAACGAACCATGTCAACAGATATTCCCGTCTTCAGCCAGGTATATGAGAGCAGCAGGAAAACCAGCTCGTTATTAGCCTGGTAGTCACAGTTCACAGCTATCCGGTAGGTAGATGACATTTCCACTTCTGCGTATCGCCCACTTCTGAGCGTATCGCAGTACGGAAGATATTCACTAAGCTAAATTATTCTGCCTCAATTCCGCACCAACTGCAGGACTTACCAAGCTCTTATTTTAATCAGATAAATGCAGATAAACCAACTGAGTCAGTAGCCAAATCGGTGTACCTAGGCAGTAGTATGAGTCCCCGTGGTCTACCCAGCATAGGTATTTTCATCATCGTGCCTTGTGTATATGCCCTACCCGTAAAATGGACGTGACGTCAGCTTATCTGTCAGTGGCCGGGTTTGTAACGCTGCTGTGCGCGCCAAGTTGGGTCAGCAAACGTCCCACGTGAGCTGGGGACGCCAAAATTCTTTCGGTGTTTTATCGTTGATTTTTATGTATCCCTGACCTAGTCAGTTGAAGGCAAAGAATCAGTATTCCAGAGGTGCGGCGAAAGTACTCGCCCACCATAAATAGTTTGATCCAGCTCCAAAGGCTGTGCTGGCTTTATCACGTGCCACGTGACAGTGGAACGAATTTCTTGGATAGTTTTTGTTGCGCAACCATTCAAATGTAGAAGTAAGCCAGAGATCAAGCAGTAAATTGTCAGCAAACTAAATTGATGTCTTCCTAGTGGATATATAGATGGCAGTGTAGGACATGATGGGCTCGATGGTGCACATATATTCAAACGGTTGAATTCAATCCACAAGTTCTGGTTTTCCCAGGGGACTATCCGCTGACACTCGTATATTGACGCATCCCGTATTTCGTCCAACTTTTCTTCCAAAAGTTTGAACATGTCTGGAAGCTTTGAAGTTACAAAGCATTGCTTTTCGAGGTCCATTTGGAAAGTCTAAGGTAGGGTGTAATGAAACTTATATGGTCCGTTTAACTATACCCATGACACGTATGAAGTCAGGGCCTGGCTAACTTGAAGCCGTGAGAATATCATGCAAATCTTTAATGTGCTATTTAACGTCATTTTCTGAAAGAAAAAACAAAAGCCGTACAGTGTTACGCAGCAATAAATCGGATGAAAAGGAAGTAGGATATCGAACACTGTAAAAAAAGATTTGCATTCTAGATCGTACGTCTTGCCCTCAGTCGACGGGCGCAAGTTCTGGTTGGCGCGCGTTGAGAGGAACTATGATGTTCAGAATGCTATCATAGATTTAATTTGTTTTTCTGATTGCGCCTTGAAGCAGTAATCTAAATGCCCAGTGCTTTCGTACAGTGTTTCATTTGTCTTTTGATATATGCGTAGACAACGGGCCTATCACATAGTCTTTAATTCCTCTTTAGATCCATACGTTGCGCTACGATAGTTGAAGGATGCGGTATAAATTCAATGGAAAACAGAAGTTTATGTTGAAACTCACCAACGGATAACTTGTGTCAACAGGGGAAAAATGATCCAGTTGAACAGCGAACTGAAAACTCTTACACCTAAATTGAAAGGAAAGGACAAAAAATAAAACGAATGCGCTAAGATAAACTGGATGCGCTCGCGCTTACAAGATTGCTGGTGTTTATTCGTTATTTGTTAAAAGGAATTGAGGCCTAGCAAATATTCGGAGTAATCTTTTCAGTATATGTTTGCCTCAGAACAACCGACTCTTGGCCCTTCATTTAGTCTGTAACCATACCTAAATTGTCTTTGAGAATCATTGGTCTCCATTCAGAGTGGTATTTATTACTTAACGTTTACATACTGCAAATATGGCGCAGGTGGATAGCTATATGTCTATTTTTTCTAAATGCCCACCTAAAAATGAGCAAACTGGAAACAATGCATATCACCGGCCCTCAATATTTGACAGTGACAAGAGACGTTTTCCTGTACCAAGAGGAACATTCAAGCGGAGAAATGTGTGTTGAATATTCTGCTGTGATAAGCTATATTAACCACGTTTTTGTGGGTACTTCATCATTGCTCAGTAAATATGCTCTTGCCGCAATGCCCCATTGTGTGAAAAATGTTAAGGATCTTAGTTTTGGTTAACTGTGGTTCAGAAAGCTCGTTGTTGCACAAAGCGTTCTGACTATTTGCCTTTTTGTCGGTACGAATTTGAACAACAAGCTACAAAAATAGAAGGAAGGAGGAATAGAGGACGAAACATCAGAATTTTGAGAAGGTGCAAATCAGTGTGACACATGAAGGCCATTTGATCGAGAAGATTACACTCAGACGATGTATCAGTGAAAGGCTGCACGAGGCGAATTTTTATTACAGTCAATTACCAAATTCATAATACCATATTAAACGTGGCTGATTTATTTAGGTGATGATTACTTTTTGTATATATCTGTTCAATCCCGGATTATTGGCTTCGGCAATTACCGCAGAACTGCCAAAGTGTTCGTTACTATTTTTGGGAAGAAACGGTTTTACACGTTTATAACAGTTTTGCTTTCACAATTTTATGGTTTGAAACAATTATACCGTCACTTAATTCCCCTTTTGAGAGTTTGCAACTCCATTAGCGTGAATATGCTACCAAAACAATCAACTATGTTTTTCATTTAACGGCACCCACTGTATTCAGGGACGAGACGTTACCTCAAAGTTTGTTGCTCATTTCTTGGTGCCTGCTCAAAACCATGTTTACTGCACAGGTAATATTCAGACACATTTTAGATAAGGTGTACCGTTGTGAGTGGACTCACCATTCTCCGAATCTTTGTTGTTATTTTCCCCAACGGCTGTTTAGAAATGGTGGGAAATAAGTAAGATAGTTTAAAGGACCTAACTGATTTGCAATGTCTGCCACAACGTGGGCGTGGAGTAGTGTAGTCTGAAGAGAGCTCCACTACCCGTAACTTTTACAATTACAGTTGTGTTTGCCGGGTTATCCTAAAGGTGTTTATGCTTTTTTGCGTTTATACAAATTCATTTATGAAAGGTTTTTGGTTGCCTTCTACATAGCAAGCTGCAGAAAGTAAGCCCGACCGCTGAGCGAACCGACAAAATAGAAGCCAAAAATGATTTTGTAAATCTTGGGTCCGGAACACAAAATATTTTGTATCCTCTGCTTATCCTAATTTATTGCAGCTTTTGTGGAATTGAACTTCGTCTGTGCAAAAAGGTTGAGAAACACAATATGTCTCTTACACGCCTACTGCTACAAATCTCTGGACAGAATTGCCATGCTCGACAACATCTAGCCCATTCAACTTGAGTAAAATGAGTTAAAGTACCAGGGGTTTTCACTTAGAGTCATTGATTTTTGTTCTGCCACCAATCGTATGCTGAGATTCGCATTGAGCTAACGTATTTAGTAAATCAAGCGAATAGTTCATTAGCATATTCCCTGTGGGATTGCAGTTTGTAGTGCTCTTAGTCGGAGGTGTACCAATTTAAATGTGTGTTGTTTCCACGCCAAAAATGACACTGACGCCGAAAGCCGTCATATATGCTTTCTTGTACACGCAATATATATGGACAGAGCCGGAAGTACACCCATTTTTAGTGGTTTACGGTGTCCGTGGGTGTATTTTTGTTGGATTTTGACATCCCATAGATGATTTACAGGGTTTATGAAGTGATATTAGAATCCACAAACTGGGTTACACAGTTCGAATAACCGAAATGACTGTAGTTCGTTCAGACTAGGCCTTATTTTAAAAAATTACGAGGTTGTTCGTGTACAGTAACCATCAGGCATCGATAGCCTCATCCGAGCGGACGATCTAGTCCGCTCTGTTGTTTACAAGGAATAAAGGCAGCATTTTATTCTTCACCAGTAGAGATTGCCAAGGATGGGTGCGAAAAACAATTGAACATAGGATGGGCACCGTGGTTTTTTAATTATATGATATAGCCCAACATATGAGATGAACACTATCAGACCAATCAGTGAATATCGGAGCGATACGCTGGTTGACCTGTGTATACCGAACGTTTCAAATTGCGAACAAAATACCCTAAACTGATTTTGCTAGGTAATTTATGTACAAATAACTGGCTAATAAGACCCCATTTAGTGATTTATAGACTCATGTCATTATACGCACACTTACGTGAGTCTCTGGCCGTACTCTGCTTTGGCACTATGTTGATGTTCGTGGAGAAATTTGGGAAATAACTGGGGCGCTCATGTTGATTCTTAATTCTCACGGTGTCAAATCTCAGCATAAAAATATATTTTCAGTTCTTGCCGACCAGATTGGCATAACTCGTAATACATCCATCAGAACCGATCAGATTGCGTAGTGAACCCATGCTTTGACCGGACACCGAGGATTAGACTAGAAAATCTAGTAACATTTACTAATTCGGAAAAATTCCAACAACTTTTTGTCTGTGTACCGCTCTGCTGAGAAGTTTTTCAACTAAAGTGTGTAAACGCGGAATAATAAAAAAATTATTATACATCTACATCTTCACTAAAGTGTAAAGTACCAAATGCCTGTGATTTTGTTGTTTATCTTTCCGCCGGCACCAAACTTTTGCTATTTCAAGGGCTCTCCCTCATCTATGAGTTAGTTTCTGCAACTCTGATCCAGGACGCCTGGCCTAAATCATAAAACCCACCATTTTCTGGATACGTCCTTATCTGTATTTCGCAGGTGTTACTTGTCTTTCTGAGGTTTCCGAACAAAAAGCTTGGATTAGTCTGTCAGCTACCCATAATTTTGTTTGTTTAATGTATGTACAACTTATAACTAGGTTCCGAAATGCATTACTGACCAACAGACTAGCTTGTTTTTGCACAAAACTATATAATTTTGGTGTCGGCTGCTTGTTTTGTCTGAAGATGACTTCGTTGTTGCTTTTCGAACAAAGATATTCACTCCAGGTTTAGTTGACGTCGCCTGGTTACTGAGGCAGCGATACCTACAAAGATTCGTTAGGGAGTTTTATACTCATGCGGTCAGCGACTATCGGATTCTTTAATTTGCAAGTCATTTTGTCATTTGTAGCGGACATGTATGTCATCTACAGAATCCTGCCAGTTTTACCTATGCACGTAGGTGGGTGAAAAACGAAATCAAGATGGAGTCTCTTACATGATGTGAGGCTGTTCTTTTCTGCTAGATTACGTCACTTTACCCCACTCGGTTTGATTCTAAGCCAGTACAGTACCAGGTATATTGGTAAATATCAGCATTCCACAGGGCGTCTAAAATACCGATGGCGTTGTCTGCTAAAGGGAATCCCAACTCTCATCCAAAGGCCATTAAACAGGGCACCATTGTGGAAAACTCATACAGGGATTAGTTGTTTAATTCCATGTTCAACATAACAATGAACTCGCTTGTGATTAAAACCTAGTGAATGACTGAACTCATCTAAGTTTTTGAATCTCTTATGAATATACTTACCCTCTTGTGTACTTTTCAATTGTAAAGTTATTCCGCTGGGTTCCGAGACTGAGGTTGATGATGGTGCCCTTGCAGCTTCCAGAACTGTTCAAGAGATTGATAGGTTTGTTTAGTCAAGTAAAGACACTTTCAGTTTACTAATTTAAGATTTTGAATATCAGCATGAAAAAATTAATACACCTATAGAAGAAATTTAATACGCACACAAAGAAGCGTCAGTTAAATGGCAGCAGTCTCTCTATAAACCTATCTCCCTGAAAAAAGATCACAAATGAGGTACTCACTGAAGGCTCGAAGATTTTCCCAACCGATACTCTACTAACAGTTTTTAGTACGGGGCAGGCTGTTCGCTGTCACTGTGTAGAAATGCCGTTTACCTTTCATTAAGATTGCGCAGGTAACCCAAGGTTCTCAATAATATCGGTGGCTGACTTCCCGTTTTACTTAACCTGGTAGATGTGTCCCGATCCCTGTTTGATCCCGACTGGCACGTGTGCCGATTGAAGTGCATCGCGCCAAACTATCAGATGTAACGATCGCAGCAACGTTGTCTTTGTTTTTCTCATGTTCATATCAATCAATAGTCCGCTAAATTTGAAAAGAATAATCCTGCAACTACGTTTTTCAAAACAGTAAGGGAACACGTTAACTCGGGAATATTATCTTATGTGTTCGAGACGGAGCTGAAAATGGAGATTAGAATCAAAATTCCAAAGGGATAATATCTCAAAGTGCTACTTCTGGATGCATTTCGACAATAATTACTCCATATGGCGTGCACCTGCGTGGACTAGAGGTTTCAAAAGAACGGAAGACGGCATCTCCCATAGTTGAGATTAAGTGAACATTGTGTAATTTATGGCAATGTACGGGACCTTTCAAGCGGCACAGAAATTTGTTTTTTCTTCACTCAAAAAGTGTTAAATTCATGGTGGAAAGAATAAGTCGACAAATCTTGGCACCCTCAACAAACATCATACACTGCATAGGACACATTCTGAAGAAGTGCACTAAGATACGTGGTGGTGTGAATAAAGCTGAAAAATTTTGAAATAACGTCAGCCATAAACCTGTCGACCAAAGAAAGACATTGGGGTTTGGTGGATTTGATGAGATCCTCA